GTTAAGCTGCTAGGCGTCTCAGCGGTCAGTACAAGCCTGACCATTTTTAAAGACTCTTGCTTGGCTCAGATGTTCGGTGCCGGGGCCAAAAGATCTGTGCCGTCGACGAGTTACCTGCTCTTCACACTTCGCGATATCGTCACAATCCATGCTTGCTTTGTGCTACCACCCGTCGTGGCGAGCCGGCTTGATGATGTGCCAACGATAGTCAAAGATGCGCTATCACTGAACACTCTGGAGGCCCGCAGCCGGGCTTCTCAGCTCCTGCTCCCTGTTCTGGTTCAGTCTGTCAGTACACCCATACATCTGCTCGCATTAGATTTGTACAACAGGCAGAGCCGGCTGGCTCTTTCAACGCGATTGGCCAGGGTGAGAAGAGATCTGCCCCTAGCAGTCCCAACAAGGATGCTTAGGATTATACCAGCATTTGGTATTGGCGGTTTGATCAACACAGGAATGAGGCGTGCTTTGTTGGGGACCTTTGGCTTTAAGAATGGCCAGACGACACTGTCATAAATATGAGTAGTGGCTGAGATTGCATGAAATGGAGCGGCCTTGAAAGGACTTCACTTGATTTACTTTTTCATCTGGTGTTTTCGAGCACTATCTGCCGAAACGGACTAATCTCCTCGATAACTCCTTCAATAAAGCCAATACTGTTACACGGCTCCTGGCCACAGCATCACTGTTCTCTTCTGCCCTTCGAAGCAAGTACAGCAGGCAATCAGACAAAGTGCCCCAGACTGTGTACTTGTAAACTCCCACTTCTGGATGGCCAATCTCAGGCGAATCCGAGCTTTGTGGAGTCCTTGCTCCGTCTCCTGCCCTACCGCCTTTTCTAGCCCCAATCATCTTACTAACGGCCTCCTCCTCAGAGCTGGGTCGGGGTGGTCCTAGCTGTGCCGCAAGAGAAAATGACAACTCATCCGCCATACCCATAAGCTGCGCGAAGTTGAGACCCCGTATCCTTTTTCTGACTCCGGGTTTTGACACGTATTGCTGTAAGCCGGTATATACGCTGTAGCTATTATGTGTAGCCAGTACCACGTCAGCCTTCCAGTCATTAGATTGTACTCCCACTGTTACCGGATCTTCAGTGGTGTTACTCAGTAAGAATGACACGGCTGCATCATAGGCATCATCCGTCTCCTGCTTACTGGCGTGAATGACATCACGATCGGCTTCATCGTACATGTAAGCACCTCTTACCAACTTTAACCCTAGCGTGTAGTTATTCTCGACCGAATGCTGAAGGTGACGCTTGATCTTATCAATATTTTTCCTCAAATAGAGCTGGTAAGTGTTCAATATGATGGCTCTAGTACCATCAGCGGCTCGATTGAACTCCGCCATCAAATTGAGCGCCATGTCATCAATGGCACGTTGATAACGTGACCCTTCAGCGTCGATCAAGACACGGACCCCTTTCCCCTTTGCTTCGGCGCAGATCTGGCGCAGTCCATCTTGGAGGACTGCAAGTGCTTGCTTGAGATCATTCGATATGTTGTCAGATGACGAAGGGGATTCACAATCTTGCGTGCATGCTTTGGTGTATTGCTCTAGAAGCCTAGTCGCCGTTGATCCTGCCCCGGTTACTCGCAATGCAATATAATCACCGGGGGTGAGCATTTGAATTGTGTGCAAATTCGAAGTGATCCAGTCCTGCAAATCGCTGTCTGCGTCTGTTAAGACGGTAGGTGTGGTGTTGTATGGGTTTGCTGATGCTGGAGCTTCCCGAGCATATGTCAAGACTATCCCACTCATACCCATCCTGCGGAGAGCTGCTGTCCTCGAGAGAATCTCGCTTTGGGAAGACCCTATGCAAAAATGCTCATAGAACGTTTTCTTCATGAGCCACCTCAGCAGTCTGCTGTGCTCTATGAATTTGGCATTCCGTTTTGCAGTCCCAACCAGCGCCAGAAGCAACGGTTTCGGCAATGTAGAGACTGAGAGGACGATCAATGACCGTACGAGATCCGCCGAAGTCAATTTTCTCAACGGTCGCTTCCGGAGTGTGTAAGATGGATCCAGTCCTTTCTCGGAAGACAGCAGTGGTGTAGATGTGGCCGTGTCCCTGTCCCTCACGAAAGTAGCTACACATCGTTTCCAAGGACTGGTGAGACTGCACAGAAGCGGTGTTGCAATCGCCACTTTGGATGCCTGATGGGCAAAGGCAGGTCTGCAGCCTACGAAGCCTGTGATTGACATTGCGTACATGTTTGGCCAATCTATATTCGAAGCGACATTTGAGCTGCTGTTGGCAGTTGTTGCCAACGCCAGCCTCAAATCAATGTATACCGCATCGAGCGCGTAACACTGAAATTTATCCGTGCCTTCCACCCACCAATTACGTCCCTAGGGGTTCGCTCGGCTTCTCTGCCTATTGGGCCGGCTGTACAGCCGTACTAACCGATGCCCGAGGAACGCTTGTACTGTCGGAGTTACTCCTGCGAAGATCTACCTGCGCCCGAACACTGTTTCACATTCTCCCGCCGAGATGACGGATTGGTGGAAATCGGTTTTATAGGTAGAAGAAGCGAACGAAGAGGCAATGCCTCCAATCTGAGGAAAGACCGACCTTCTAATCTGCCGTAGAATACTCACTACATCATAAGATGCTTCGGGTCTAATCCCGCAAGAGCAGCAGACTGATACGGTTGATGTCCTCATACGAATTATCTTCGACTATTACTTGGATACAGAACTGTGTCTAGCGGGCCGAACTCCTCTTTCAGAGTTCTGGGTGAGACGAAACGCATCAATAAATTTTCACTGCCGGCCTTATCATTCGTACCGCTGCTCCTGCTTCCACCGAATGTCTGCTGCCCTATAAGAGCTGCGGTTGTCTTGCAATTAACGTACAGATTACCAGCCGCGTATCGCAATTTACGCTCAGCGAGTTCGACAATGCGCTGGTCGCGGGCAAAAATCGCACCCGTCAGCGCCAGACCACCGCCTTGCTGGTCGATGTCTGTGAGAAGTTCTTCAAAGTGATCGTCTGGGTAGATGTAAACTCCAAGGACTGGGCCGAAGAGCTCGCGGTTGAAGAGCCAATGGTCTGGTTTACGCGCGACGTACATAGTAGGCTGGATAAAGTAGCCTTCGCTTCCGTCGTATGTGCCTCCAATAACGCATTCGATGTCGGGGTCTTTGTTCGCTTCATCAATCGCCTGACTGATTTTTTGGAAGCTTTGTTGATTGATGACGGGGCCAAGGAAAGCGCTGTAATCCTCCGGCTGACCAACGGTGACCAGCTGCATTTCCTCCTTCATGACGTTCAAAAATGCCTGCGCTCTGCTTTGAGGCAAGTAAAGTCTGGAACATGCCGAGCATTTCTGACCAGCGTATTCGAATGCTGCCCGGATGGTATGCCTCACCGCGCTGCTAATGTCGGCCGACGAATGCACTAGATGGAAGTTCTTACCGGATGTCTCGCCCACCATCCTAGGATATTCTCGGAACGTGTGGGTCACCACGCCTTGGGCAGCTTTGGCAAACAGAGATCGGAAAACATTCGAAGAGCCAGTGAAGTGCAATGCTGCGAAATTACAGTGCTCGAAGATGGTGTTTGTAATGAGTTCCGCATCTCCGGTCAAGAACTGGACAACGTTCGGAGGCAATCCCGCTTCCAAGAGAATCCGGTAAACAATGCTGCTAGCATAGACGTTGCTGGGAGATGGTTTCCAGAGAACTACATTGCCCATTATAGCAGGTACCGACACAAGGTTACCACCAATGGCTGTAAAGTTAAAAGGCGATATCGCATAGACGAAACCTTCCAAGGGGCGGTAGTCATTGCGACTAAACCCGTAAGCTTTCATCGCCAGACGAGACATTAAAATCATAAACTTACGTATGGTGTCCAGGGGTACCGAGCGTAGGCTGCTTCTCATAGATTTTCTGGGCAATTGCAACGTTGAATCTGAAGAAATCGGCGAGCTCCGCCGCAGCATCGATTTCCGCTTGCCAGGCATTCTTCCCTTGACCAAGCATCGTCGCAGCCGTAATCTCGTAGCGGTACTTCGTGGTAATCAGCTCAGCTGCTCTGAGGAAAATAGCCGCTCGATACGTAAAGGGCATGTCTTGCCATGCCTCCTTGGCTGCCAGAGCATCTTCAATGGCATGCGTGACATCGGTTGCCGTCAAGCATGGGTAATCAGAAAATGACTGGGTGTGCTTCGAAGGAACAGGCACGCTTGCCGTCTTGCCTTCCCAAGAATTTACTTGCCCATGACTCCATCTCGGTGTCTGAAGAGGTAGTTTGCTCTTGAGGTCACTGAGAGCGCCGTCTAGGGCTGCGCGCTCCGGCGAATTTGCCGCATATTGTTTCTAAGATTGAATTAGTGCCTGCTACTCTTCGCAGTGAGTGACTTGACCTACGTTCGGTTCGTTATAGGGCTTGGGTATTGAGTATGCACCGCCTGTGCTTAGCGAAGCCTTAGGGTGAACAAGGACAACGAAACGCTGGCGAGAACTCCTTGCTGGAAAAGCTCTCGAGCTCCAAATCCGGAACATGTTTGAGGTCTTGTTCGGTTGCCAAAAGGATAAGGACGATAGACAGGTGCTGTTGAGACAGCAAGAGCTGCGGTCGGTCTACCATCCTATGTTGCCACTGCCCAACCTTGGCCATCTTCACAAATAGCGACGACATTGTGTGTTGACGTGCACCCTCGGGTTCACATCCGACCCTCTCGAGGACACCGATTGGGTAGCGATGCCACCTCGGTACAGAGCCGAAGGTGTTAGTTGAAATCCAGATCAGACCGCAACCGTGCTTCGAATAAGCTGGTTGGGGGAACATATTTTAATTGTATAATCCAGCGCTAGTGGCCAGGAAGTGGAATGCTACAGATGGCGAATATGATGCGATAAGTATTGTCCCTGCCCAGTCTTCACAAGGAACACATCAATCACTCGGCGAGCTCCGTCAGTGTAGTATCAATCATTCGAGATTGCGGGCCTTCAGATCACCATCCAAAAGTGCTTCGTCTCATCTCATCATGGCACATTCCGACCAGAACTCTCCAATGCTCGTCCTCGGAGCAGGCACGTTCGGCCTATCCACTGCCCTCCACCTCCACCGTGCAGGATACACTGACATCACAATTTTTGAGCGAGCGGAATCCATACCCTCGCAGTATTCCGCTGCATATGATCTTAACAAGATCGTAAGAGCGGAGTATGAGAACACATTCTACACCGATTTGGCCCTTGAAGCCATCAAGGAATGGAAGACTCCTCTTTTCGCGCCGTACTATCATGAGACGGGCTACATTGTTGCCTGCTCCGGGAGAGCTCCAGAAAAGGCAAAGAAGTCCCTGTCGACTGCCCTGAGCTCGATTTCCAAGCATGCAGTCTTTGCATCAGGCATCGAACCCCTAAAGGGTGGCGATGCCTTTCGCAAGTTCGCCTGGCAGCTCGATGGACCCATGGCTGGGTACACCGGGTATTACAACCGGCTAGCAGGGTATGGACATTCTGGAAATGCATTGAAAGGCGTGGCGGAATACTTGACATCTCGTGGTGTGCGGTTCGTGACTGGAGAGCGACGAGGTAGAGTTGCCGAGCTCATTTATGAGGGCTATGGCAAATCAAGGCGCTGCGTTGGTGTGCGCACCGTAGCTGGGACGAAATACCAAGCAGCAAAAGTGATATGTGCACTGGGGTCATTCGGAGCCGCCTTGATACCCGACTTGGGGAAATTTGCGGTGGCAAGGTGCTGGTCGGTTGCACATGTCCAGCTCACGGAAAAAGAGTGCGATTTACTTCGAGGACTTCCAGTGGTCAACGTCAGAGACCTCGGCTTTTTCTTTGAGCCGGATCCAGCTACCAAGCTGTTTAAGCTCTGTCCTCTCGGTGCTGGCTACTCCAACACTGATGCAGATGGTATATCCTTACCCCCTTCGGAAAACTCAAGCGAGACATCGTTCAGCGACTGGATCCCCAAGGCAGATGAGGTGAAGCTGCGCACTCTTCTGCATGAGATGCTTCCGTGGATGGCCGACCGTCCATTCGTGGACAAGAAGTTATGTTGGTTCTCAGATTCGAAGGATTCCGAGTACTGTATAGATTTCGTCCCAGATACGAATGAGTCATTAGTCGTCATCTCAGGAGATTCAGGCCATGGCTTCAAGATGATGCCAATAATGGGAAGCTGGGTGGTAGAACTGCTTCGTAAAGGCAGGCAAGAGAGGGAGTTATGGAGATGGCGCTCGGAGGATGTGGCCAGTCCTCACCGTAAGTGGGGGACTGCAGTATCATGGCGCGTGGGCGAGGCAAAAGAGTTGGAAGATGTTGCTCATGAAGACCGAGCCCGGCTAGGAGCACGACTATGATGGTTTGATCATTTGCTATAAAAGGGCCAGATTAATAGTATCTTGCGTCGACTGGTCGATGACCAAACCACACTTCCGCTACCTACGATTGTCCGTTGATACATTGCTTTTCGAATATTGGCTACCTAGGGACCGAGATAATGGTTGTCAAAAGTTGAAGTCTGCACTGAACGCGTCCATCTGATCGGGTTCTAACAGGTCAGCAACGTTCATCAACTGCTCCGCGTCCAGCCCGGCTTCCCACGTCCATTCGTCGTATGGTATGTTGTTCATCCAGGGCGTTTCATGATCAGGATGCGCGATTGCGCCTCCTATTGTCTCAGAATGCAATCCTGCGGAAGCGCCTGGGTCAGCTAAGTCCGCATTTTCAACAGATTGTGCACCAAGTTGTGGGTCCAGCTGGCGCCGATTGAAGGCATTCAGGAGTTCCTCCAGCTGATGGAGCTCTGCCTTGCGTCGGTTTGCAATCATATTTCCCTTCGCGATCAAGTCGTCGAGAATGCAGTAGGTCTTGGCCAGCTCTGCCGATAAATTTTCAACCAAGAGAGGCTCTACGGCCGAGGCTATGAGCACAATGATTCCCGAAGAAAAGGCAGCTTCAAGATCAAACGGCACGAAAGTTGCTACCAAATGTCAATGGTTCCCACTGGCTACGTGTAAAAGTAAGGCACACATACCCAGAAAGTCCTGGCGCTGTAATGCGGCCAAAATATTTATTGAATGTTGGGAAGAGTCTGTACACATTTGTAGCAAAACCCTTAAGCGTTGCAGGGATGATATCATGGTAGGTGATGCATGGAGAGACCCCATTCTTCTCATAAAAAGACTGAACAGCAATGGCCTTGTTGTTAAAACGATACACTTGTACATTGCAGAGTTAGTCAGGGCAGGGACGCTAGCCGAGGATCGGAGAAGGCATTACTTGATGGTGTTGAAGATGCAAAGTTGCCGCCAATCTGGATATACCCTCACCAGGATCATCCAAGACGAGCTTAACGGATTTGCTGAGCTTCTCAGCTATATCAGCAATTCGAGTTAGAGCCAGCTTTGTGCTAGTAAAAAATCTCTTGTCGAGCCGTCCGTCGGGACCGTATACGCCTAAGGTATAGTCAATCACTTAAGGAGACGTTGTAGCTTTGATTGCCACACTCACTACTGACAACCTGCGCATTGAGGCGGCAGAGTTTGATATATAGGTCGAGAGCTGTGCTTTGCTCGCTAGAGCTCAACGTAGGTAAGTTTGTAGTGACCATCTCGTCGGAAAGCTGCACCGGTAGGCCCATCAGAGAGGTTAACTCGCGGTCCAAAATATAGATGGTCCACCAGATTCGTCTAGCACGCTCTATCTGGGATGCGCTGAAAGCATTGAGGGGCATGTCGATGTGCATCCCCTGGAATAGTGCTGTACGCATCGCATTTCCGACCTAAACGTTTTGTCGATTAGCAATTTAGACTGTTGAGAATAGTCAACCTCAGGTTCGTCCCACCGTCAAATACGCTCCATATCTATGATCGATACCTTGTAAATAAAGGGAAGCGCAGCAGAATATTTCTGCCGTGGTGAATGGATCAGTCCACAGCTGACTGATGTCGGGAAGGATTTTCATCGCTTGAATAAAGAGATCTTGGCCAGGTGGCGTACCCTTCCCCGGCCTTCGAGAAACGCATGCTTTGCCCAAAGCCATAACCAATAGATAGTGGACGTACTCGAGCGTGCGCGTGTATGCGTCGTTGGCACGATTTTCGTGAAAACGAACTAGCTCTGACATGAAGGTCTCCTCGTGGAACAAGTGATACATCTCTCCAACGTGGAACTGGGCGGACAGCATCAAATACTTGGCGTGATTCAGCGTAGGAAGCACGACCCTGTCATCGTCACTGATCACTCGCAACCCGTCCCAACCCAGATTGTAAACGTCTCCATCGAGTGCGAAGCTTTCTCGCCTGAGTGGAGTGTTGTGAACCGCTTGGTGAGCACCGTCCAGTACGCGTCGGCTGAACGACCAGTTCGAGGATGTACCTAAATAGACTTGATAGCATAAGCATAGCTTGGGTATCCAGGTCAAGTTTCGCCGTGAACTCACTTGATCTGCCGGAGGAGATGTCTGAGATGAAGCCGGTGTCTGATGGGCCGGCGCTCAGGGGATTCGTCATTTCCACATCTCCTTGTGACGAGTGTGGCTGTTGCTTCTCGTTCCCTGAATGTGACGGTCCAGGATCAGGCACGAAATGACTCCGTGGACCATCATATGAGCCCGCAGGCAGCCCGTGCGTGACATTACGCCCATCAGACCGTCTGGAAGCATTTGCCTCATTTTCTGCTCTTCCTTGCGGATCCATCAGACGTGAGTTTCAATTTGTACGTAGGAGGAGACTCACCAGAAGGGTAACCGAGACCTGCCGCATTGATAGGATCAGTGATGACCTCCGGATCACTAGTACGATCGGATCTCTCCTCCAAGGCAGCGAGTCGTTCCTCGAGGTTTGCCAGGTACCTTCACTGGGATTAGTGCAGGCAGGTTATGGGAGATGTAAGACATGCCTCCTGGACACTGAGACTGAGGGTTCTGCAGCATCAAAATCGCACGACTTCCCGCTTCTGGAGCAATTAGAGCATGGTGCTGAGCCACTGCACTTGATCTTATGCCTGCGGCATCTCTGACAACTGAGAAGGATCTGTATAAGACACCATCGACGGGTGAAAGAGACAGAAGACTGCACTTACGCATTGGCCGTCCGCTTCCTCACCCCGTGTGACTCTGGACGGCTGTTCATTCGGTGATACGTAGGGCCTGGCCCGCCGTCAGTAAATCAATAAGGAATTGCTACACCCAACAGACCCCGTGCATATGGATGGAGGGACTATTCCTTGTCCAATGTCCAGGTGCACTCGATTGCACAAAGGTGGTCCGGCATATATGTGATGGTGTTACAGATGGATATTTGTCAGATGACAAGCCTGTCGCTTAACCTGCCTGACTGGTTCTTAGGCCAGTGACCTGAGTGAGGTAAAGCTCCTAACAGCGGCAGGTTTTCTAATCGCGAGCATCGATTTCATCTCTTTATGCGGAATACGAAGAAGTTCTCATTCCGAATTGGTCCGTCACTCGACTAGCCATTTCACGGATCTACGCTTGAATCACTCAACGGCGAGCCAGACATCCAAGTCTTGCGACAGGGCATGTCGGCCGTGTTACGAAAGAAGTGGAAGACCCCAATACGTTGGTCGTTCGTGAAGGTGAGAGTAGAGCTTCCAATTTCGAAAGAGCGCAGCGTATCACCAAAGTGCCCATGCAGTTCAGTACCGACCAATACGTACATTGCGTTGCTCATTGGCAAAGATTTGCATTTCCCAGCCAGCCTCGATCACTGGAGACATGTCCTACGGTATCAATCACACCTGCATTTTTGGGGAAGCCATCCGCCAGGTATCGCCAACTCTGAATCCTGCCGGAAAAGGATCGGTCGAATCGAGCACGATTTGTTTATAGCTGGTAATCCAGGAGCTGCCTTTCACAGTCGGCAGGACAGCAGGATACCGACCAACCTGCGCCGTGCCCCGGATATGCGCCACAAATTCAGTGCCTATAACGCTTTGATGTCGGAAGGTCTCGCCTACTTTGAGGAGGCTCCTAGCATGAAGCACAGCTAATCGTGCGCATGTGCCGGTGCCGCAAGGGCTTCGATCCAGTCTTCCTGGTGGCACTACGACCGTGTTGGAGGCTGCCTTGCCTGTGGTCGTATCTCTCAAGGGTTCCGTAAATTGAAGTATGCTCACTCCGCGGATGGCTGGATTTTCCGGGTGAATGGGATCGGTGTGCTGCTGGACAGCGCTCTTTATTCGCTCTCCAACTTCGACCAGCGCTCTCCCCTGTGAGCTATCCACCTTTAAGCCCACGGAAGACGCGTCTACTAGTGCGTAAATCATGCCTCCCCATGCGATGTCCACCTTCACCACGCCAAGCCCTGGCACCGGTATCTCGAGGTCCAGCGCAAACACGAAAGCCGGGACATTGTCAAATGCCACGCTCTTGCACTTACCGCCTTCGCATTCAGCTGTCACGGTGACCAAACCTGCTGCGGCATCGAGACCTATCCTGGTGATAGGCTCCTGCATCGGTACCATCCCAGTTTCGAGCAGTACCGTAGCAACCGCAATTGTGTTGGCGCCTGACATTGGTGGGTATTCTTCGTGTTCCATGGTGAGGAAGCCAGCATGCGCTTCTGCGTTGCAAGGCGGTAGAATGATGTTGGCGCACATGGCGGAGCTGCCACGGGGTTCGTGCATGAGCAGCAGTCGTAGACTGTCGGCTTTCTGCCACATGTGCATCATCTTCTCGAACATGGTCTTGCCAGGGACGTCAAGCACGCCGCCTGTAACAACATCACAAACCTCACCGGCCGTGTGAATGCCCACGACATTGAAACTTCGAGCGATCGGCATGACGTTCAACAGTAGTCGGTCTGCTAGATGTTAGTGCCAATAGCGTTGAATGCTCTCAAGCGAGTTGTGATGGCTGGGCCAACCATGTGAGTATATCACCTTTTTCTATCACAACAGGGTTTACATCGCATGGACGTGACGTTGCCGAGGCCGACCTGGCACCTCCACCTATCCAAATTGCACCTTGCACAGACTTTGTGCAGTACGAGATACCACTCACGTGATCGGCAGTGAGCCCCGGTCGAAAGGCCCCTACAAAGCTTACTGTCGGGTACGTTTCCGAGACAAGGGTCCCGCGCCGCTCGTTCTCTCGATCAAATTGCACAGGAGCAAGCGACTTAGCCCAGGGCCGGATTTTGCTGGCCGCCAATTCGCGCAGTATCATTCGCAGTATTTCTAGGGAGGTGCTTGCCAATGATAACTCGAGTACTTTGTGGCCTACAGAGTTATGCCGGTGACAAAAGATCATTATGACTGCAGCAAGGGTCACCCCGGCCACCGCTTCATGTCGTGTGGAGTTACGTGCAAGAGGAGCTTCAGGTAGATAAGGTGGAGTTGCTTCCCATCATCTGCTCTGCCTCCCATTCTTTTCCTGTATTCCACCTGGTCCTGCAAGCACCTAAGAAGCTCCCCGATTTCCTTCTACAAGGGAACAACGAAAATGTCCAAGGAGTACAAAGATGTTGAAGACTTACGCCCTGTCCAGACTACGGACGAGGGCGAAGTGGTTGTACGGCGCCGCGGCAGCGCCGCAAGCACGCACGACGCGGTATTCGGAGAGATGACGGAGCATGGACCAAATTATCGCAATGTGAGCATCATGAAACCCATATTTGGAGGACAATAAGATAGTGTAGGACTAAATCTGCCTAGGTTGGTTGGTTGGGTACAGTTGCACTGATGATGAAGACTCAAATCGGCCTTGGTGTGCTTTCCATTCCAGCTGTCTTTGATACGCTGGGTTTGATCCCGGGCATCATCTGCTTGCTGTGCATCGCTGGCATCACGACGTGGTCCGACTACATAGTCGGAGTCTTTAAACTTCAACATCCGGCCGTCTACGGCATTGACGATGCCGGCGGATTGATCTTTGGACGTCCAGGTCGAGAAATCCTCGGACTCGCGTTCTGTTTGTGTTAGTGTTGTTGTCCTTCCTGCAGCGAACACCTTCTAAACCTTACCTAGATTGGATCTTTGTCGGCGGCTCTGGAATGCTCGGTATCTCCATCGGCCTGAACGCGGTGTCGGCTCATGGCGCCTGCACTGCTGTTTTTGTCTTGGTGGCAGCTATCGCAGGTTTCCTCTGTGGAAGCATACAAACGCTTGGTCGTATCTCATGGCTGGCCTGGGTTGGCCTTACCTCTATCGTCACTGCGAGTAGGTTTTTCCAGATAATTTATCACTTGATCCGGTCTAATGACATCTCCAGTTTTGACTGTGACAGTCGCTGTCGGCGTGCAAAGTCGACCAACGGATGCTCCTCAAGTGGGGCCTTGGTCTTCAGACTATGAGCTCTTCAAGAACCCGAGCTTCACTGAGGCTATCTCTGCGGTCTCTTCCCTTGTGTTCGCCTACGCCGGCACTCCTGCTTTCTTTGCCATTGTGGCAGAGATGCGCGATCCCAAACACTATACGCGGTCGCTGTTGATTTGCCAGGGTGGCGTGACAGCAACTTATATTACCATTGGGATTGTAGTATACTATTACTGCGGATCTTATGTCGCTTCCCCAGCGCTGGGCTCTGCCGGTGTGCTCATGAAGAAAGTTTGTTATGGCCTTGCACTTCCGGGATTGCTGGTCTCTACGACGCTTTTTATTCATGTAGGTGTGACCTCGCAGAATGGCTATTGAAGATTACTGAGATTTTTCTAGCTGGCCGGCAAGTACATCTTCATCCGCATCTTCCGAAGATCCAAACACCTCTCATCCAATACCATGATTCACTGGATAGGTTGGATCGGGTGCACTTTGGGTGTGACTGTGATTTCTTATATTATAGCCAGTGCGATCCCCGTGTTCGGTGGTCTTGTGTCGTTGATCGGTGCTCTCCTCGGGACACTGATGTCCTTCCAGCCAATGGGTTTCATGTGGCTCTACGATAACTGGAGTTTACCAAAGTCCGAACGCGGACGCTGGTGGACGTTTATGATTGGCTGGAGCGCCTTCGTTATTATCTCTGGTACTTTTCTCATGGTTGGTGGCACTTACGGATCCATCGTCGGCATTATCGACTCCTACAAAGTATCCGGAGGCTCGGCCGCATTTTCCTGTGCTGACAACTCGAACTCTGTACACCATTAGTGGTAGGCGCTCAAAGACTTGAGACAGGGGGCTAGATTTCGTATAGTTGAAGACGAGAGGCTATGTACGTGGAGTCTTTCTGCGACAAAGAATGGGATCTTCTGTGCATCTTGCGCCCGAGTGTACATATGGGACAACTGAAAGTGAGAACACCATAGCCATTTCGAGAAAGCTTGTCTATGACAACACACGAGATTCACGCTACTCAGCATCGGTAGAATATTTGAACTAACCACAAGCCAATAGGATCTGTAAACAACATCAGTAATCCCACATGAATGTAGGTTCAGTTTACCAGCAATCTTGACGGCCGTGTAAGTATCACGCTAACGGGACTGACGCCAACAACCTCTAACAGGGGTTTCCTGAAGCATACCGATGGTGGTAGGGCATTTCTCAGATGGTCGAAAACTTGATTCCCAAGAAATCTCTGGTTGCTGGCTGAAAGGCGCAGGAATATTAGGATTGGTTAGTCGTAAAAAATGCCAACACAACATTGGTGTGTTGCTCGCGCGGATATATCTGCACCAGTGCCGTGCGCATGGTCATAATGACATCGACTTCCGTACCATCCAATCTCTGTAATTGCAGTTCTGCAACGGATCAGCCACTTAGCCCATTCTTTGCGCCCTTCCTAAGGCTGAATCGTCTCCAGATCTGGACCCTTCGCACCATCCCGAGACGCACACCAGGGCTCTGGTATAACACATGAATACATACATACAGAATTTGGTGTTGGCAAATGAAATGAAGGCCAGGCCGTGAAACTCCATAACAAGCAATGTGATCACGAGGAGCTGATATGCCACATCTCGAGCCCACGATGAGAGTACAACTGCCCATCACAAAGATAACAGTGACCTCATCTATCTGATCACCCTTATCAAAGCACACTCCACAGTACTTGTATCTGCTTCTTTAACTTTTGACGAGAAGGGTAGTGTGTGTGCTCGGATGAAGATACGAGAAATCCATAAGGAATGCCGAACCCTCGGACATAGAACCCGGTTTTCGGGGGTTGGCCGAGATCGAGATCCGAGCACCCAAATGATACCGCCTCGCGTGGTTATCATGCATCTCCTTGTAATGTCTCAAAAGTATGAGGCGTTCGGGCGCAAAACCGACGGTCCATTT